AAAAAAAAAAAAAGAAAGAGAGACAAATGAGAGAGCGTATATATAAAAACTAAGAAAAAGAGGGGGAACAACTTCTAAAGCATAGAATAGTATCCTAGAGATTTACCATCTATGAACTTGAGTACAAAGTCTTCCAGGTATGGCCTCAGAGCTTCATACAACTCCGTCATCCCAAATCCGGTTTCAGCAGACAGAGAAATGGGATCACCAAAACCTAATGTATAAGCCTCACCAGCAGCAGAAGCTAGAGTACCATTAATGTCATCAAGCAGCTCCGCTTTATTCATTACGACAACAGTCTTGATACCCGCTGCATGCTTTCTTAACCACTTTCCAACATCCAAATCCATGGGTTGCAGTCCATCTCTAAATTCAAAATGCAATTACGAAAAACAAATTACATTCTATAATTCATTTTGGAAGATAAGTCAAACGATGTAATCTGTGACACATAGTTATAAGGAACCAAAACTATAATTACTCAAAACATCACCCCCAACGACACCATATTGAATCCACTCAAGGCATCTGCATTTTACATTGTAGGTCTCATGACATATACAACCAGGCGTGGATTTAGACAGGGGCATGAAAGTGTAACTTTTGAAAAGGAAAATTTGTATGTAAATATGCTTAATACTATAATTACATTATTTTGCATATTTATAAATATAATGTAGAAAAGGTACAAAATTTTGACTGTTATTTTTAGCATTAAAAATAAAATTTTTAAACTTTCAGTATTACATATATATTATGAAAAAATAATATAAAAATTAAATACCACAATTTTGAATAAGTTATGGGATCAATCGTTTCGACTAAATACGTCATCGCGTTTAAATTCGAATATTTAAAATATTCGTAACTTTCCTTTTCTCTCGTCCCATCCATCGGCAAAACATTAAAAAATAAATTTGCTATACTGAATCTTATTATTATTATTATTATATTTATTATTATTATTATTATTACTTTGTTAAAACTAAAATGTGTCCTCTCGTTTGAGGGTCTATGTTTGTCCCTGTATACAACCCCATAAGGTTTCACAAGCATCAATGATATCAGTATTCTAGAAAACATGAAAAGTCTAACCTTGCATCAATGAGAAAGAGAATAAAGGAGGCCCTTGACAGCACATCTTCTGTCATGGCAGCAGTTCTCCCAAGAACAGAACCTGAAGACGCCTCAGCCTCCAGGCCAGCTAAATCCAAAACACGAAACCGCAAATCACCCAATTTAGCAACAACGTGTGACATGGTCATTAGGGGTGTTGTAAACAAGAGCCTCCTTCCTCTGAATCAACACCGAAAGCCCAAGTTCAAAATTACAAGTGTTGTATCACCCAAGAAAAAAAAAAATAATAAATTTGACTTCTAATTGTGATATAAACATGATATTGATTTCAAGAGTTAGAAGTAAGAGTTCCAGGACTGTAATGCCAATAATATCACCCATTAAACAATGCCGACTTTCCAACATTTGGCCGACCTATGATAATGACGGTCGGGAGCTTCTCAATAAAAATTTTGGCGAAATCGGTTGTTTTCCGAGATATATTATTGTACCCCTAGATGAAAAAAAAAATAAAAAAAAAATAAAAAATAAAATGAAATTTTTAATAACAGACTAGAAGCACAACAACATTGTTAAAGCCAAAACAGATTCAGACCCAACGAGTGTTTCAAAGCTCTAGAATGAAGTGAGCCGCGGCTTCTAACACGAAAAAGTTGCTTACAATTTTCTCAACTAAATGCAAGACAGAAATATTTCCCTCATATGCAAACAATATTCATAAAATCAGGCGCCCATTTTGCAGCTAAATACCAAAAAAAAAAAAAAA